GAGTCATGTGAAAAATTCACTACATCTTGTTGTTTCCGGAGGAAGTACACACACGCACACACACACACACATACACACACACGCATACACACACAGGCACACACATATGCCTCTGCACACCATTGGACCATTGGACGCCCATCGCTGAAGGCGATGATAGCGATGCTACAGCAGAAGCCATAGCAGCTTGTGCTGGGATTGCACCATTCAACAACTTGCAAGGCTGAAGAATTGACCGCCACTATTCAGCCTGGTCTACACTACACAGCTATGAAGTGACTTTTTCTGGCCAGTGAATCCCTACTTTTTGGTCTTTTTCATTTTTTTTCCCGCACACACATCACACCACATACTCCGGCATGCACTGGCTGTTGGTAACCACCCAGGAGAATGAAAGAAAAGTCAGGAGAAGTCTGAGAAAGAGAAGAAAGACGTGTGTGACCATAATCGTTGGGAATCGAACCCGCAACCTCTCAATTGGAAATCGCTGCACATACCACTGCACACACACACACACACAGACACACACGCGCACACGCCCGAAGAGCGGACCGCCGAAGAACGGCCAGGCTTGAATTTTACCAATTTTTAAGAATGGTGTAGGCTGGATGTTTTGCAGATAAGAACGCGACCCGTAATGTACACTATACTGGACACTCAGACGTATAACTCTGCACAGATGTACATGTAAGACTGTACCATGGAATAAGAACGAAACTGCTGTGTTCGCTAATAATAGGAATGGGCTAGGCTAGAACCCTGACTCCCAGTTCTTCGGCACCTGACAGTGCTGTACCCACCCAGAGTGTGCAAACCCCACATACCCCGCTGTTCCACAGAATTTCAAGTTGACCTCATTCTTTATGACGCGATGGTCTTCAGACGAGTGATTGACGATGTTTGTACAGGGTTTAAACGTATTGCACGTGTTTCCTTGCACAATAGATATCCTTAGCTAAAAAAACGCTAACGTAAACGCAAACCTTTCCGTACTTCGGATCGTTCAAGCTGACTTTTCCCTTAGCACAAAGTACGTTATAGTTGAGACGAAGTAGTCGTGACAACCATGGCGATATGAATTTTCGTGGAAACAGGTGCGGGAAATTCAAAATTTTGAACCAGGGATTAGTTTGCTGTCGTTCCGAAAGAATACCTTGGCGAGGTCTTTTACTCTGGAATAGCAAAAGCACGGCGAAAATGAGTTTTCGCTGTTCTCAGGTCCTTGGAAACCCTTTCCTAAACGCAGCACCGAAGACTGTAAGGGTTCTCCAGCTCCAGCACGTCTGGGAGAGGCCGATGAATTTCTTCCTCAGGAGTGCCGTGGAACTGGTCCTTTGTTTCCCAGATGGGATAGAGGGAGAAAGGCACGAAGCAGAGGACGCAGAAATTGTCAACTGAAAGGCAAAAGTCGCCAAAAAAGCTAAATGTCACAAGAGGAAGCAATCTCGACTCTCGATCTCATCTCGATCTGTACGACGTGCTTTTATCTCCCGCCAGTTACAAAACAATGCGAGTTTTTGCATTTTTTGCAGAATTTCTATAACGAACGTCGGCCCGTTATTTTGAGCTCTGTAACGTTTTTCCGTTATCCGATAACGTCTTTTGTCACGGCTGGGAGTGAGTACCGTAAAAGTTAGCGTTATCGTACTTTTGCTAAGGATGTCCAATATCAAGCCAGACTTGTCCACGGCACATGTCCAGGATACGTCAACTCATTATACGTATATTGCATCATGAGAATGCCGTCAACTTGAAATTCTGTCCGGACAGGACCCAATTGGAGTTGTCCACACACGGGGGTTATGACCTCTTTGTACCACCTGTTCTTATTTAGTGTTCTCCTGTTTGTCCTGGTTGTTTTCACATGCCTCTTGGTGATGCCTCAGCTCCAAACACCGGCTTGTTCTGCCCAACATTCACGCAGCGAAAGACAGCAGCACCGGAAGCAGCATCAGCAGCGGCCACTCCAGCGTGCACACATCCACGCATGGCAACACCGGAAGCAGCAGTAGTGGCTTTTAAAGTGGAGCAAAAATGTTAGCTCCTAGCGTTGGAAATTGAGTGGCTAGCGGCGGAAATTCCTCAGACTATTGGTAAACTGGTGCATACAACAGCAAATGAAGAACTTTACTTAAAGATATCTGGAGGAGAGGTAAATGCCGTGGGTAGAAGTTGCTCCCCATCTTTCAAGCGCGTGCGTATTCTCTATGGACAGCTTTGCGTGGTCCTAGCTTTCATACTATGCTTTTCCTTCTACGTCTGCATGCGACACACTGCCGACGAGTGCAGTGCAGTGGGTGTTGCAAAAGTCACTGAGAATGTCACCTAAGCAGTCTTGTACCTGTTTTTCGTTTATATGGCCAGACATCCAGACTAGCGTAGATCAGCGATGCTGCAGTCGACGGCCGTGTGTGAAATTGAACCTGTGGTACTGCTTGTAGTGACATGTAGAACCAGGTCTAGCATTCTATAGTCGTTTCTCGAATGACTCCTCATAGTACATGTTCCACTCAAAAGTCAATAAATTATCATTTTTGCCACTCAGCTCGCTTCCTTTTATGGGAGTGAGTTGTGTCATCGATAACCATCTATTTGACACGTCTCGCCAGAGGTACAGGCACAAACTTGCAGACTGTTATTGGAGGTATGGAAATGTGTCGTCCACTGAGCGGCGCTCATTTCACTGTCGTGTATCCCTCTCAGCAACTGCGTGAATGCGAGTTCCTATCTAGAGCGCGCTGCCATGACAATCACCCAGTCCGACGTTACACCTATCATTACGAGTAGTCTTGACACGCTATATCGAGGAGTTGCTGATCCAGACCTTTTTCTCCTCCCAAGTTGTTGGTCCAGACCTTTCTGGTTTATTGGGAATGTTTCAAGTTTACACGCTCACTTCTTTTTTGTTTTGTTTCCTCTTCCCCTGTCATTTTAGAAATTGTCGCTAACGGCTTAACTATCAACATGTAATGAGAAATGTTGTACACTGTTCTCTTTGACTTTAAGCTGTGGGGTTCCAAGTAACAAAACACTATTACAGGTAGTAGGTAACACGAGTACATGTACATTAAGCAGAGTGTGCAACTCAGGATGTTACCTTTGGCAGCATAATCCGAGCAGTACGTCATTTCTGACGGCATGGTAAGCCACCTGCCTGGCGAAAAGTTACGCAACCGGTTGCGATGGTGGATGTCATTTTGTTTGAGCAGATTTCGTTTTTTTTAAAAGTACAGACAGCCTGGTGAATTTACTTGTCAGCGAATGTGCACAAGTTCAGTCATCGTGTACTCAGTCACCACAAAGCCGTAAAACAAGACGTCTAAAATCATTCAAACTTGTCCAATTTCCGGGCTGTGAAATACAAAATTTGAGCTGTAGGCAAATCGTGCATTGGTTGACCTCATCATGGTTCTGTAGTGCGCTAACTGCGCTATTTCAGATCTGATGTGTACAGTCGCACACACTGGTTTTGCACTGTTGCTAATATTTCGGGCTCGGTGTTCTTCCTCAAGCAACTCTACTCTATTCCAGCACGCTAGGATACCTTCACAGCCGCACTGCCGCTTTCAGGGGGTACTCGCGATTCTCTCTCCGTCATTCACGCTTTGGATGGGTTCGGTTTTCAGACTAGATCCGGAGACAATGCCTCCAACGGGTAATGTGGAGAGTACATAATGGTCTAGCCTGTCTGTTCTTCGGAACATCGTACTTGTGTCCACCGTTCTTCGGTACGCAGCAGCACCGTATCCCTCTTTAAACGAGAAACCACGAACCTCGAGAACAGAATACTGCATGATAGAGGTGGTTGCAGACGCAACTGTGGTGGTGAAACTGGAGCATCTCTGCCCTCTAACCTCGACTCTCCTCTACTGAATAAGGAGCTCGCGAAGTTCCCCCTCAATAGATCCAGTTTTCTTTGGGAGTTATCATAACAAACTCAAAAAGAACGAAATTGGACAGCAAAACGGTTGTATTTGCCTAAAGTGGATGGTAATTATTAGCCAGACCACCAGAGTGGAGGGGAAACCCCAAGACCACGGCTAGGGCATATGGCGGGAGGTAAAACCAGACAAAAGCATGCTGCATACATTCTTGGAGCTAAAAAGAACAAACAAGTGGCAGAGAACAAACGGAAATGAGAAAAAAAGTTTATTATACCAGATACTGCATTGAAACAGGTGTGCATTTCAATGTCTGCGTGGCTAAGTTCACGTGACGAACACCTCGCGACCAAGCTCCATCGTCCCATCTGACGTTATCTGCAGAACACAATTGACAAGCAGGGTACAGAAGCTGGTTACTCTCCATGCAAGTCCATACTGTACAATCCCCTAGTTTCCGTTTAACTTTAATTTCCGTATTTTAGCTAGGCACCTGAATTAGAATTCCACCTATAGGGTGTTTTGGTGGTATGATCTAGAACAGGATCAAACAGTTGGTGCACATGGAGTAGCCTCATGCAGACCAAACTGTACCGTAGTCCAGAAACAGAGCACATTTTTGTGCATTCTTCAAAATGTTAACGAGTCAACATGGTCACTTTGTTGAGGTTCTCATTTTTTTACGACTGTATACGAAATGCATGATAGTGAATGCAAAACGTAAAACATGGTCACTTTGTACGGTACAACGAGTGCATGCAAAGTCCCACCCAAAGGCGTTTGCACATGATCATTAACAAGAACACACATCGCTTGGGTGGATGGTGCACGGCCGGCGAAATTGAATTGCATTTGCCCGGTGGGGGGGGGGGGGGGGCAAGTAATAGCAGGGTTGGCAAGAGCCATTAGCCCACTGATGCATTCAATGGAGAAATGGAGAGCCGCCGGCCACCGTTTATTGGGGTTTACTTTATAAAAGTAAGCATGTGAGGATAAATATGGGAGTGGGAAGGTGGGAACGAGAAACAAATAAACTGACAACCAGTCACCACCATGAACAATTCTTGAGAAGAGATTGTCAGCAAGGGAGCAAGAAAAATGGGTCGCCATTTTTGCGTCATGGTAACCGGACCTCAGTATGGTTGGTGACGTCATGGGCACATTGTGTGCGCTGGGATAAATGTGAGTGGCAACACTGACAGTTGTGCGGCACCATGCCTGCGCGAGGACACAGGGCAGCAGAGACAGTTGTGCGGCGCGGTGCGCCCGCAAGGACATGGGGCGGCAGAGGTAGGTGTGCGGCCCCACACGCCTGCGAGGACAAAGGGCCGCGGAGACAGCTGTGCGGCACCATACGCATGCAGGGGCAGTAAAGCGGGATTCACAGAAGCTTTTTTGCGATGCGACACGCGATGCGACGCGATCTGCGATGGATGCGTGCGATGCGAACTCGCGAAATACCATTCACAGAAGAAGTCAGCGATGCGACAAAGTTTTGCTGATTTGGGTACGTCACCATGATATTCGCGCGGTTTGACACAACTTGTAAAAATTTATAGGCAACTCTTGCACCTTTGTACAACTTTGCTGTAGAAAAGGTCAAAATCGTACACCAAATCGCTTGTCGCATCGCATCGCATCGCAAAAGTTGAGCCAAGCTCAACTTCTGCCATGGCCCAGTTGCGGCAGTTGCGTGGGCCGCGACATGGCTGCGATTTGGGGTTTTCCCGGTTTCGCGCCTGTCGCATCGCGTGTCGCATCACAAAAAAGCTTCTGTGAATCCCGCTTTATGCGGCACCATGTGCATTCGAGGACATGGGGCAGCACGTATCCGCGGCGGTGAGCTGCAATGATGCTAGCTGTTAATGAGCATAAACGCTGCGCTTTAATGCGACATTTTGGGACCAAAATCGGTGTTCCCGCCAGGTTTCCCTTTGGAAAAGCGAAACTGCTCAGTCGACTAGTCAGCTCCGGCTTCCAGGCCGGTGCAAGCTGAACATGTTCTGGCCCACCCAGAGCAGGTGCAGTTCTAACCGAACGCGCCGTTCTGGTGAATCCTGTTCTAGGTTGTACAAGTCGAACGCGCTGTTCTGGTGAAACCTGTTCTAGGTTGTACCAATCGAACGCGCTGTTCTGGTGAATCCTCTTCTAGGTTGTACCAACCGAACGCTATGTGCAGGTGAAACTCTGCACACAAGTTGAGCAAGTGCTTTTAATTATGGTTACCAGTGGCTGTGGGGTGTGGCACATCAGTGTTAAAATCTCCAAGCACAATAAGTCTACAGTCGCTGCAGGTTACGGCATCAAGATGCTGGCTATACAGGTCCCAAAAATTAACAGCAGTATTGGGTGAACGGTACACACTGCACAAAAACAATTCGTGGCCTTTGGCGTAGCGCTAATATGAACACAGACAAACAGACACTCTTCTCTTGAGCCAATCACTGGTACTCTGAGTGAGTGGCAGAATGGACGTAAATGCAAATTCCACCACCATGTAAATCTCGGTTTCTGCGGTACAGCTTATAGCCTGGGATATGCACGCTGGATGTGGGTATACTGCTATCAAGATGAATTTCGTTTAATAATAGATAATATGTGAATTTTATGAGCATACAAGAGGCGATGGATGTGGTGTACATTATGACATCATGCAGTTGTTGACTGGGACCACAACTCTGTACACTATGATACAGTAGTAACTTTACAATGACATCATGCAGTTGTTGACTGGGACCACAACTCTGTACACTGTAACAGTATGATAAAGTAGTAACTTTACAATGACATCATGCAGTTGTTGACTGGGACCACAACTCCGCTACACTATGATACAGTAGTAACTGTGCAATGACATCATGCAGTTGTTGACTGGGACTTACTGTGGCTTTGAGCAGATAATCGAAACCTCTCGTCTTGGGACATTGAAGAACGTCCCAGGCCTGGGAGTCGGGAGGCGAATAATGTTCACGTGAGAATCAAGGGTAGAAAATGGAGTGTACCAGAACGCGATTTTAAGCCTTGTGGATTGTTTGTCCAGCATCCTAAAGGCCATAGCGTGAATGCAACGATAATTTGCGTTATACAATTCAAACGGAACCAAATCATAGTTCAGTTGCCGGCACTTTGAAGCGGCTTCCGGATACGTGAAAGTGCCGAAGTCTAGTCCAATCAAGTGCGAAGTAATCCCCGTCGAAGTTCTGCAGGTTGTGTGTTCGGCTGAAGGTAAGAAAAAGAGAGACAAACAAAATCTGGTCTGGCTGAATTCTCAATGCGGAGTTTCGGTAGAGCTCTTCTTTGTAGGCAGTGACTGCCTCATAGAAAAACCCTGTTTCTGAAGCTTTGCTGCACACAAAAGCCTGTCTTGAGTACATTTAGTTTGTTGATGATCAACAGCTGGCAGTATGTATGGTCCTGATTAGCTTAAAAGAAAACACCACGTAAACCCGTCTTGGTGCATTTTGCATACATAAACTGTCCCTGACACTCGGTGCGTCAACTATCTATGCATGTATCATACTCGGCAGGTTTCGAGTTTTTTAAAAGTTGACAACTCGTGTGTGTTTAGGACTGTTTTGATGTACCATATTTCGTTGTTGCCTGCATTTGCGTGCGTATTAGCACCCCAGTTCTCATTGACCCCCGCTCGTTCCTCATCCTTCATTCCATTTGGCCTAAGCGAAGACTAGTCAAGCTTGCTTGTCGATGTCAACACAAAAAGGCTGCTCCCGCTTGCTGCTGCTGCTGCTGCTGCTGCTGCTGCTGATGATGAAACTGTCAGTAACTATTGTTAGGTACCACCTCCCGTACATTTTCTAGCTGGCCTGCATGCACTTACGTACGCACCTTTTGTCTCCTTTTGCTCCGTTGGCCTGGGTAGCTACTTGCGCGCCCATATTTGCCATAGCTACCCAGGCCCTTTATCTTGCCGTTTAGACTTGATCTCCCTCTCTCTTTTTCCTCACTCTTCAATGTAGTCGTTTCGTTCGTCTTGGTCTCTTGTCTCGTCGTCTACTAGTATAATAAATGTCGTTCCCACTAACTTGTTCCCGTTGTAATGTCTGGATACGTTGTCAGTCGTCCTGTTTCGAACTCAACATTGGCGCCCGATTATTGATCGACCCACGACCCCGAGATCATCCCATGCCCAGCCGTCCTCAACCACCATTCGTCTCGTCTATGTCAACCTCGTCTCGTCCATTGTCAGTCTCGTCTCTCCTAGGCCAACCTCGTCTCGTCTCTATCAACCTCGTCTCTCCTACGCCAACCTCGTCTCGTCTATATCAACCTCGTGTCGTTCAAGCCATGCAGGTCAGCTACCTTTCTCTCTTTCTTTTTTTTGTATGCGTTCCTTCTTCGTCAAATTTATTTTCGTGAAATTTTTGTTAGTGTGTGTGCGCGCGGGTGTCCTTCATTAATATTAGGGGTCCGATCATGGTGAGCCACGCTCTCTTATTTATGTCGTATATTAAAGTGTAACTAGGCTCTATTAGCCGTGCAAAATACTACTCATCAGAATACAATTCAAGTCCCTCGTCGAACTCCAATAGTTATTTTTTGTGCCATGTTTTGAAGGGGCGTTTGGGCCCGTTGTTATTGGCCTTGTACACACTATAGTATGAGTAGTACAGGAACGTTGACGGTTGTAATGATCTGTAGTGCATTTTTTTTAGTACATACTTTTGTGAGGCCCGAGCGTTGTGTGTGTGTGTGTGTTTTTCTCCTTCAGTCGTTTTTTTAAATCTTTTTCTCTCTTTATTTTTCTCTCCGCGAGGACGCGGGATTTTTTCATGGAGGGGTGGTATGTTAGGTACCACCTCCCGTACATTTTCTAGCTGGCCTGCATGCACTTGCGTACGCACCTTTTGTCTCCTTTTGCTCCGTTGGCCTGGGTAGCTACTTGCGCGCCCATATTTGCCATAGCTACCCAGGCCCTTTATCTTGCCGTTTAGACTTGATCTCCCTCTCTCTTTTTCCTCACTCTTCAATGTAGTCGTTTCTTTCGTCTTGGTCTCTTGTCTACTAGTATAATAAATGTCGTTCCCACTAACTTGTTCCCGTTGTAATGTCTGGATACGTTGTCAGTCGTCCTGTTTCGAACTCAACACTACCAACAAAAAGCGTGCAAGCCACATCTCTCAACAAGAAGTCGATCAATGAGTAGACTCAGTATGGCTGACCACAAGTTTTGACTTGCATAATGTTGAACGCCTGTGTACCCGGAGGCAGATATAGGTTGAAATACAGCTATGAATGGAACGATGGCTGCAAACATCTCCACGCAACATGCAATTTGTTCGAAATGATTGTCGGTATATCAGAGTATCCAGAGTCGATCATCTGTTCCAATCATCAGTAGAATTGACAGAACCAAGCGTAGCCATTGAAAGAACAGAGGTTTTCAAGCGGTCAACTTGTACTAACAGAGGACACGGGTTGCGGAAAAAATGGTGCGTGGTGATGTCTGCAGCCTTTGTTCTATTCATAGGATAGTATGAATTCATTTCTTCGTGATGGTGTAGTATTGCACTCCTGTTAGGGAACTTGTAAGGAAGGCTCTCGTTTCATAAATAAAATACATTTCACGATTCGCGTGAGACTCGGCTGGAAGCCGAGTTTTCCGCATCTGCCGTGGGAACGCTACCACCCTCTAGGATCAAAGGTTTAATCTGGTGATGTCGCCTATGATCAGAACAACGTCTCGAGTGTCACCCTAATGTTAGCCAACTGTAGTATTCCAACGACAGTTAAGTTGGGTGGCACGTCGAAGAGGTAGGTTGCCAGCCGCACATTCTATTGGGGTAATCGAGCAGATTGTCCCCATCAGTATCTTCTTAGCCAGCATGCAGGTTTATCTCGTTATTGTTGTCTGATGGTCGTCTAGCGTGGGGCAATACAATCATCACCTGCCACTTCTTGTCTGAGGTTGGCCCAACTCAGGGCTAGCGCTAGTGCAGCAAAACAGCTCTGCTGCTCGAGGGAGCACCATGGACTCCGGGCTCGGACACGATAATCACTGTTCCCGCCGAGATATATAATTGTTTTATAAGAACTCAGATGGTGAGCCAAGGAAATTGTTTTAGTAACATGGAAATTGTGGGTACACCTTATGCGCTCGAGTCCGCCTACTAAACCAGATTTTGGAATGAAGCTTGTGCTTGGCTCGATGGCGCTCGCCTTCCACTCTTTGGAATTAGCACTTGCATCGATGAACCCTGCACAGTTGGAAGGCCGTTGGTTAGCGCTATCGAGCAGTGCTCAAGCTGACGTCCATTCCGTGGAATGTCTCAGTGCTCCCTGTCAGTTTTGTGATACATTGTGCGCGTCTGATGGTCAAAATCTGGTTTAGTTGGTGGACTCGATCACATAACTTGTGCCCACAATTTTCCATGTCACACAATTTGTTTATAGTAGAGGAAAGGAGCAATTACGCTATAATGTCCACTAACTGCACGAATTGCATGACAATGTAATTTTGTGATGATAACATTGCACAAAACTAGCCGGCAGTACAGACGGTCGTTTTTTTGACGATTTGTGCTTGGATGACAGCTACACCATAGCTCAGTGGCTAGAGCGTCGTTCAACAGCGAACAGCGCCCATCATAAGGCAAGGTCTGTGGCGGGGCGACTTCCGGACCTAATTTCTCGTTTTGCAGGATTTCTTTTCAAATATTTCTCTTTGAGTGAAGCGAATTCAAGTTCACAATGCATGTTTTTCATGAAGACAAAAACGGTAACCCTGAAAGTTGTGTCATTCAAATAATAATTATTTCCTAAAATTTTTAGGAAATAATAAAACAGTTCGTCTGTAATGGTCCTGAAATACTAGTATCCCTAAATACCATAAGTGACATCAGATCTTTTCTAAATTATTGCTAAAATTCAACGCAAGTGTTAGCCATTCTACAAGCTATCTGGGAAGCGCAGTGTTCGAAATGCTAACAATTTCCAATCGGGAGAAGTCGGCGCACGAAACCCTCTCCTGTTCACACTCAAAATGTACAGTCAACTTGGCTTATAACGACACTCGGCGGGGCATCAACAAGGTGTCGTTATTCGCAAAGTGTCGTTATCTTATTTTATGTATTACAGTTGGATGGGACTTTGCTCTGGGCATGGAAATTCTGTCGTTTTTCGCGAATTGTCGTTATATCCCTAGTCGTTATTAGCGAAGTTGACTGTAGCCGTTTTGTACGCTTGCATTCCCGTCTACACCCGTCTAGGGTATGAAAAGTTGAACACGCATGTGGTGATTTACGGCTCACCCCAGCCGTCCAGACAGGCCCTTACGTCCAGGACCGTCAGCGTTGCATCGAATGCGAACTAGGCTTAAACGCGAGCAAGGCCGCGCGGACAGTGTAATATGGGCTTTTTCAATGATGGACACTGAGAATGGAGAGTTAACGTTGTCAGACTTCACTTTTGCCTTTCTAGCTTCTATTCTTCCCTATAATTTTCCTTTCCCCTTTGCTCCATTGCTCCGCCCTTCTTTCTTGTCTCTGGCCACATGCGTAATAGTTTCAAAAAAAGCACGCACCCCCCCCCCCCCCTCCCCCCACGCACCCACATACAAAAGCCCCCTACAGAATATGTGCAAGCAATTACACTCCCCCCCCCCCTCCACACGCACACCATTTGACGGCCATCGCCAGAGGCGATGATAGCGGCGCTAGAGCAGAAGCCATAGCAACCTGTGCTGGGATTGCACCATTCAACAATGGCGTCTAGCCTCATTCCATCATCCATATGCTCCTGTAGTAGCTCACACTGTACCCCATCGTAACACCATCCCTCTGCAATGTTTTGGTTTCCTTACTTGCTGGACTGATTTCATATTATGATTCTGGACTGATTTGAATCGCAATTATCTTCCTTATTTGCCATAGGCTATCGCGGAAACGAGAGAGCTTGGAAGCTCAGGGCCCTACGCTATGCTTTTATGCCTTGATGACCTAGACAAAAATAGCATAGGGATGTTAAAAATTCTTTAAAAAATTCCTTTTTTTTTAAAGACATAACCTGGGATTCAAAACCGCATTATCGCGCCCTGCATGCACCCCCCGATACACTTCGCATACATACTAATTCTTCCAAGTTGCTTCACATTATGATCTTGCATTTGAAAGCCCTATTTGAATATGCATTGTGGCCAGCCGTCTTTGATGGTACGGTACGGCAGGAATAGGTACGGGACAGGTACGATCGAGGGTAATACGACACCGTCTCCCGTACCGTACCATCAAACACAGCTGGCCACATACAGCTTAGTCATGGCCCAAATTTGCTCGGCCTACATCGATATTTTGCCGCACAATTTTGCCACAAAAATTTCCATATTCTGCTTGGCATTTCCTTTCTCCGTCGATATTTTGCTTTGGTTTTGCTCGAGATGAAATGAGTTTTAGGGAAAATTCAACGATAATTGCCGCTGATGACGACGATATGTTTGATTGAGCTCCTGCTGCTGCTCAACTTTCCACTGAAATGTAGCCATGAGTCTGTTTTCTACAACGTTTGTGCTTGTTTTCAACCTTGGTGACTGATTGTTTTGAGGGAGTCCCTAAAAAGCCTTGGATTTTTCGAAAAGCCCACCAAAACTCGATATTTTGCTCAAAACTTGCCGGAAACTTGCGCATCCGATATTTTGCTCAAAGAATTGCTAGCAAATTTGGGCTATGACTAATACAGCTGCCCGCAATATTCAAATATGGCTTTCAAACGCAAGATCATAATGTGAAGCAACTTGGAAGAATGGGTATGAATGCGAAGTGTATGGGGGAATGCATGTAAAGCGATAGTGCGGGTTCGAATCCCAGGATATGCCTAAAAAAAATAGGAGAATTGAAAAATGTATAACATCCCTATGATTTTTTGCCGTCAGATACGGGATAGCGCCAGGCGTGACACAAACAAACAAACACACAAACAAATACCAAACGAGAGAGCTTGGAAGCTCAGGGCCCTACGCTATGCTTTTATGCTTTTTTGCCTAGCTCATCGTACATGTTATAAGAACTGATGGAATTGTCTTTTTCCGTTGATTGGCCACATCACTGTATTGCAAAAACGTTTCAATCGGTTTGAATATTATGAGTTAGGCAAAAGTATTTGCAGAATTTATTGCGGATTGTTATTTCTCTAATAATCATCTACTTTTGTTTTGCTCCTTCTTTAATTTTTATCTCCTTATATTGTAAATCAACAAATTTTGGCCGATGAGAAATAGAAACCTCTCGATTAGAGAGGTTAAGATGCACGTTATTTCCGACGTGACGCGCAGTTTCACGTCAAATTTTGAAATCGATCGGTATTTTTGCTCTCACATGCATCCATTGCTCAATCATGCATCATTTGCCTATATGACAAACGTTGGCCTGCGATTTACTTTGGCCGGTTGGTACCAAGCGACGAAATTAGCGAAATTAAATCGCCAGCGAACATTAGTTGATTTTAATACAGGAATCGGATTTTCTGGCCTTTTTGTAGTAATACATGTACATAATCATTGACCTGTTGAGCCAATGACGACGCCGAATGCATGTTTGCCTGTGGAGCACATTACATAACTTTACAGTCTCCTAAAATGCGTATCCTGTCCGACGGCAAAAGAGGCTGCAGATTTAGTTTTTCTGCGCGTCGACGGGATGTCTGCGACGCGAAAGTTCAGCTCGCTTTATTTGGCTCGCACGTCGAAAAAATAAACGCGAGTGACCTGCTGCTCACGTCGAAATTTGGACATTACATAACTTTACAGTCTCCTAAATAAATACGTATCCTGTTCGACGGCAAAAGAGGCTGCAGATTTAGTTTTTCTGCGCGTCGACGGGATGTCTGTCCTGACGTTTACTGGGACCAGCGCTGACTCTGCCGATCACGGGCGTTCTGGACTCAACGGGATGTCTGTCCTGACATTGCCTGGTACCGCCGGACTCTACCGATCACGGGCGTTCTGGAGTCGAAGGGATCTCTCTTCCGACGTTTCCTGTGACCGGCACTGAATCGCTCGTTCACGCTTATTTTGGAGACGACGGGATCTCTCTTCCAAAGTATGTTTATGCTGACGCATCCTATCACCTAATTGGCGTCTATTCTAATTTAATTTCCTCCTCGTCTCCCTATTTCTTTCCAAATCCCCCTCTACATCAGGGAGTCGTATGCATAATACGACGAATATTGGTACGGTACGGGACAGATACAGGAGCCCGCAAATATTGTGGAGAGCTGTTATGTACAATCCTGTAGAGCCTTTGTAGTCACAGATACGGGACAGATACGGAATAGCTCCAGGCGTGACACAGGTGTGACCGGCACTGAATCGCTCGTTCACGCTTATTTTGGAGACGATGGGATCTCTCTTCCAAAGTATGTTTATGCTGACGCATCCTATCACCTAATTGGCGTCTATTCTAATTTAATTTCGGGACAGATACGGAATAGCTCCAGGCGTGACACAAACAAACAAACAAATAAACAAACAAACAAACACACACACAAATACCAAATTAAAGCCGTGTGGACCCTGGCTAGCGCCAGATGTTACTGAAGTAACGTCTTCTGCATAGCTACGGGAATAAAGAATAAGAATACAACGTTCAATACTTTTTACACATATCCTAATTGGCTGGTGGTGATTTTTGCGTAGATAGATGCGTAGACAATACTATTTTGTAATATTTTCTGCCTCCGTCCTAGTTTCAAATAATACAAGTAATAATAATAACAGCTTACAAGGCTGAAGAATTGACAGTCACTATTCAGCCTGGTCTACACCACACAGCTACGAAGTGGCCTTTTCTGGCCAGTGAATCCCTACTTACACACAAACATACACGCACACACGCACACGAGCACGCGCACATACACACGCGCGCACATACACACACGCACACACACACCTATACTGCACTTACTTAAGCACACTTTCAAAGTTCCCAAACCGACACATGTTTGATAGGTGGCACAATCAGTGTCAAAGTGACATCTGCGGTAGAAACCTGTAGATTCACACAGAAAGGTCAACAACAGAAAATTTGCACTAACGCTCAACAGCCACTCTCTCATAATTTTATAATTTATTTATTTATTACAGCATCTCATGGCACAGTGAGAACACCGGCCAATACAAAGATAGATATACGAAGAGAGATATACAAAGAGAGATATACAAAGAGAGATATACAAAGAGAGATATACAAAGATAGATATACAAACAGAGATATACAAAGAGAGATATACAAAGAGAGATATACAAAGAGAGATATGCAAAGAGAGATATGCAAAGAGAGATATTGGTGGCTATTAGCCTATTAGACTATGTTTGATCAACAATAACGTGGGACCAAAATTCTTTCTGCAGGTAGCGCCCTGGACGTAGCTGCAGTCAGTGTCTTAGGGCGTGTTCACCTTGTTTGATCTGAGAACAGAGCAAGCAGTCAGTTCCATCATGCAGTACACAGACCAGGTACTGTGACCTTGGCGATGGAAATCATGGCGCCTGAGTTCATTCTTTTTGGACGTCACAGTTGAAGGAAAAAAAGTTCGAATCTAAAAACAAAAAAAGTGGGCGACCTCAGGGCATGGTGTAGGCTGAGCATGCTTCATACACTGGACATCCGGTGCATGCAAGTCAGTCAAACGTGCATCTTACGAGTGATTCTTTTCTGGCTCTCAACCAGACGAACGAGCACGTAGGTACAAATTTTTTAACTCTACATTAAAAAGGCAGAGGGGATAAAGCTCATGTACTGCACTTCCCATGAAGATCACGAGGACTTTCTGGGCAGTTAAACGTCACGCGCCATGTCATTCACCTTGCTATTCTTGCTCGGTTTGAAAGATTATGAAAACCCTTTACCAGCCGATGTGAATTCGGCGCATTTGACAAACTCAAGGTGGGGAACTTCAAAATGATAGTAACTCTGTCAAACCTCGCCCTATTTCAACGACTCAAATATGCGGGTCGAAGATAAAAACTCTCCGCTGTCCATTGAAACAACCCGCAACGAGCTACAACCAGCGGATTCTGAGGCATTTCGCTGATCGGATCAATTCTACTTTGCACAGGCTCAACAGTGCAACCTGCCTAAAACGACCGCTTGATGAACCTTCAGACTTAAGCTGTGTTCACAACTGGCGCGTGGACGCGGTACGCTTGCGGTTGATGCGTGCCCAAATGCGCGCTCAGCCTTTCACAAGAAACAGCAATCTGAGTTGTATTTAGCGCGTGCGACACCTTCGAGTACTGATTTTTTGACCCCGCCAGTGAAAGTCACTGGCATGTACGCTGGTACGCGCCTGATACGCGCTGAAACTTCCAACATGTTGGAATTTCCATTTCGGCGCGTTTCCGTACGCATGGCGCCCGGCAAAAATACGCACAAACGCGTGGTTTTACGCGTACGCGCGCCAGTTGTGAACACAGCTTTAGGGCGCGCTCACACTGCGACCATGAGCACGCTTCCATGTGTCAGGAAAACGCATGAACGTGGCAGTCGTGCTCACACTAGGCCTCGTACACGCGTAGACGTGAAGTTGTCACACAAACTTTACGAATTTCAGTTCGTATCCAAAAGAGTTCGTGCGTTTCCTAATAAAGTTGTGGCCCATTTTGGATGTAATTTTTCGCATGTTGCATGTTGGAGGAAGTGCCTCGCGCTCGTGGCTCGTATTCTTGAAGTCGACGAAAATAATTCCTACAATCAGGTAGGTTTGGACTCTTGAGGGACTGCCGCTGACATCCAAGCGCTTTCTCTTTCCTGACCTCGTTGTCAGAGCAAGTGCCAGTGCAGTGGAAATTCCGGTAGTGGTTTCTTTCGTCTGTTGCCGAGATGAGAACTGTATTTTCCGATGATATGTAACTGAAATGTCTTGAGGTATGGCATTCCATCATCGCAGAAAAGTAGAGAAAGATGATTTCCGAAACCGAAAAGCCAGACCAAGCTGCCATCGTATTGAACGGGTACACTGTAGAAATTGGTCACTGACCCGATCACAACGAAGCAACTACAAAAACAAAAACAAAATCGTAATCGTCCAAAAAGGGCAAAGAATGCACGCACGCATCGCCATATTATGGCGGTGCGTGCGTGCAGGACCACAACTACAAAATTTAAAAATGTGCAAATGTCGAGGATCACGTCGACAACCGCCGAGTTTCATGAATCAACACACCGGAATTTGAGAAATTGAACATACTTCAGGCCAGATTGTACACAAATACGCTTCACGTCTACGATCATGTTGCCGCCATGTCGTGGCACCCCCCTCCGGAGGTCGCGGTCACGATTTGAAACGTGGCCGCGACGTTTTGGTCAAGTTCATGCCGTTGCCATGCAACTTGGCCGCATGGCCGCATGGACGCTGGTTTTGGTCGCAGTGTGAGCGCGCCCTTAGTCACTGTCTCTTAATCCATAGTAATTTGACTGGAAATAGCATCCCTTTGTCCTGGTTTCAGTGGTCTTCTAGGAGAGGTGGTCGCCTTATCCCAGTGGGCGCCTTGACACGTTTTTCTGTATACTCTACGAACACCTAGTGCTAGTTTTGTGTGGCAGTTTGTGCGCCAACTAGTCCCTCAAAAATCCATCACGAAGTTTTTGTTAACGGAGGAAGTACAGTCCTTATCGCCGAGAAGGTTGGCGGCTATAGTAACAATAATAATTATACCGGCTATAGTGATCAATGGTACCCATGCATCAATTTCCCACCGTTAGGTTTTGCTGGGCAAGTCCACTACAACCGTACACACTGTCATACCAGCTCTGCATAAAAGATCATGAACTTTGTGAGGTCATACTCATAAATGTACTATAACGGGTTGTACCTGCCAAGTATGGGGTAACTTGCCCTGCCAAGTATGAGGTGACTTGCCCCGCAAAAAGGTGACAGCCATCTTAGATGCATACCACCCATTTCTGAAATTCATTTTTATTTGCCATAACTAATTACATGTGCACACAGGTTATCGCATATCGTAATAATCGTCTATAGTAATAATATCGCCTATTGTGATCAAATTCATACTTCAAAATACGTTTTTTACATTATTTTCGCATCTGTTGTAGTGATTTTCTGAGTATTTTATTCATAATTATGGTGGATAAATACGCACCTGGCAATATGGCGGTAAATACACGCCGGACAGTAGTTATACAACAGGAGGAAAGGAGACAAATGGCTGTAATTTTTTATTAAATGGCTGTGAATACAGTCTAATGTAAATAATACTTCCAAATGGCTGTAAATGGCAAATGGCTGTATATAGCTGTAAATACAGTCGTAGTGATTGATGCACATGTAAAGGCAAGTGGTGTCAGATGAGAACTGCGTGGTAGTTCACCGCGAAGAACTAATTTGTCCAATGTTGTTCAGTGAGTTCTGCTTGTACAAGTATTAGTTGCCAAATATGCCTCCATCGTGAGGAAATGCTGATGTTGTGTGTCAGGAGCTGTAGCCAGCTGTGTAGTGCATATGTGCGCTGCGCGCTGAGTCGTTTTACACCCCACTCGCATACATTGCGTGCAGTACCGGCCATTGGAATAATCCTTATACAGTAAACCCTGGCTTAAGCGACCACTTCGCGCTGCAAGCAAATGAGGTCGTTAAAGGGAGGTGGTCTTTAGAACCACGTCCGACTGTGTCTGTGTAGAACTGTCGGTGCGTGAAAAAACGACCGTTAATTTAAGAGCAGGTGGTCGCTAAACACAGAGGTCACTTACACCAGCTTTTACTGTACAATGAAGTGATAGAAAGCTCAAAATCAAACACCAACGCTATAGCCGCGCTACTGACTGCACACCCTTGTCGTGCATGTCACTGCTGGCGGGCAAATTCTATTACTATAAAAGCCATTATTCTAACGAGGCGCATATATAACGATTTCCCAAAATTGACTGGTTTACGTGTACCAAAGGTAACGATTCTCACTTATTCTCAACGCTCAATAGGACAGTATATGTATCGATTTCTGTTTAACGATTTCTATTTTAACGGCAGATTTCTCCTCGTTAACTCGTTAGAGTTAGCACTTCGTTATATATATATATATAATTATGGCTTTTACAGTAGATGACTTACTTGTACAGAAGACAGTGGATGTAGATTCTGGAACAAGATCATAGACCAACTCGTGTGTTTGGTGGGTAGAAATTTGGCCACGCCGGTTGATTAGTTCAAACCGACCTGAATCCGGGCCGTACCCAAGCCAGAATTTATTTTGACCCAACTGATCTATTTCGTTAAGAAGTGCATCGTCGTTTTCAGGATTTGGCAGCGACATGCCCAGGCCCTCGCACGTCTTCTTGGCTTGACTGTTGAACAGGGCAGTGGATATGTGCAAGCGATAGAGACCATTTCCATTTGCTGGCGTTTTGTACGTACCTAGACACAAACACAACGAATGTAGTATAATAATATAAATTGAATACACACACGACAAGACATGAACATGATACGCACACACACACACACACACACACACACACACACACACACACACACACACACACACAGACGCACGCACGTACCCCCCCCCCCCCACACACACACGAATGTTGGCCTTATTTTTGGAAACTGTGGGCGAGCAGAAACTTGAAAGTTTGACCAGGCCCGGATCTCGGCACCAGAGATCATCGGTATATCTACATGATGATTGTACAACCATGTAGCTTCAATGCCAGATTCTTCAAACATGTGGGAAAACGTATACATTTAGCTCAACTGTAATCATGTTACCATTATGATGCTGGCATGGCCTGCTTCAGATAGCCACAATCAGCCGGGAAAGGCTGTGATACAAGAGGCATACCACACTGCTGTAAAATTGAATATGAAACACGCGTAAAGCTTCATAGTCTGCAGGGTTTTACGAGAGCGTGCACGTGATGGGAAGGCAACACTTACGGACACACTTGTTCGTTGTTCCTGCCTTCAGGGCTGGAAAGCAGTAGTAGCCGGTTGGGCAGTCATCATCCTTCCAACACACCTCTGTAATGGAGTGCATGCGTATATGGCAATTCATGCAGGAAAGAGAAGACAAATCAGAGAGGACATGTGTGTTTCAGCCAGCCGGTTAACTGCATAGTGATACTTCCAGTGGTCAAATATCGACGTGCAGGTAAGTCTGTCCCTTTCAAGAGACAAACGGCGGATAGCAGTTCTTAATTTAAAACTTCACTGAAAATTGCGCGGGGGAACGGATTTTATTCCATCTCTGCCAACTTTTGGAAACCTGAGATCGAGACAATGAAATACTTATGAAAACGTACAGAAATATTGTAGCTATGAGGCATGCAACTAATGTACTTTTGGGTGCCTATTACCACCCTCGACATCAAGACGGTCCTGGCCAAATTGGGACAGGTGACAGGTATGTTATTCTTCAGCATTATCTGCGGTGGTATAACAAATCGGTTGCGTTCTTTTTGCTCGAAGAGAATATCATTAATGTATGGCAGTCTATTGTAGTTATGTATACGCCCGTCGCAAGAGAAGCACGCAAATCTGCAAATGCACTGGATGCGCACCCACAGATTTTCTCTTATAACAACGATAGCGAACAAGTTCTGAATGAGACAGATCAAGACTTGCGCCAGATAACTGTCTAATCCACACAACTGGCGAAGCCATGTGAATCGACCACCAATGCACACATGGTCTACACCACACAGAGTACATCGGCATAAAACGGCCAAGACAGTTACCTATGCACACCCTACACTTGCTGGGGTAACCAGTATAGACAGCACGCTGCTTTGATAGAAGCAGACACTAGATGCACTGGTACATTGAAGTGAAATTGGAGTTACTTTACCAACCAGCCTCGGCTGCGGAGTACTGGGAACCGAGGGCCATCAGACATACCAACAACCTCAGCCATGTATATACACACACCAACACCTGCATATACAGTTAACCCTGGATTAAGCAACCACCCCGCGGTGCAAGCAAAAGAAGTCGTTAAAGGGAGGTGGTCTTTAGAATCAGGTCCCACTCTGTCTGTGTAGAACTGTCGGTGCATGAAAAAAACGGTCGTTAAGAGCAGGTGGTCGCTAAACACAGAGGTGGCTTTCACCAGGTTTTACTGTGTTTATATCCTTGAACCTTTCTGCTATATCCGGGCTATGCGGACCCCATGGGGGTTGAGCAGGATTGCAACAGTAGGGGCCGGTGATGACGGGATAGGTCTTGTGGTCTACTGAAACACCGACCTCAAACGATGCAGAAGGAGCTACGGGCCGTGTTGGCTGCCCTTGGCCGAGCTGCACTTGTGACGCTTCATGCCTCCGTGGGATAGCACACACTGGTTGGATCGGGCACAGTGGATGCTGCAGCATTCGCAGGGCATACCTTACGCAACTGGCGACTCCAGTGTTTCAGAAGATGCTTCTGCTGATGATGTTGGTGGCGAGCACTAGCGTTGGGCAAACCCAAACTTGCTCCAGAACCTTCTGTCACACTGGTCGCAGTGACAGCTTTCTGGCTGGTGGTTTACTTGTAGAGTACACGTGGCTGCACACTTGTGTCTCTTTCTGTCACTTATGTGGCTGAATGAGCAGTGAGAAGTTGGACACACAAGAGGTGATGGTCAAGGTCTGTTTTGCTTGTTTGGCAAACAGCTGGAAGCATTGCGCCGTTTTGAGCGAGAAGAAGTGGCTACTTGATGACAGTCCTTCCAAAGCAGATGTTGGGGAAACCAAGAACACACACACACACACACACACACACATGTGCTCTCACACACACACACTCACACACACACACACACACACATGTGCTCACACACACACACACACACACACACACACACACACATGTGCTCACACACACACACACACACACACACCCATGCGCTTACCTTCACAGATCTTGAACTTCCCAACCGAGACGCATGCTTTTTGTCCAGTACAATCATTGTTAGAAAGACATCTCCGGTACGAACCTGTAGTTTTGTGGAGGAACAATCGACAACAGAAGGCAGAACCTATTCCCATTCACAAATTTATCATGGGCTCTCCATCTGAGTCCATTTTTGCACACAAATTTTGATCTTTGGAGTTTAAAAAATCTGATTTAAACCAAACACGGCTCAAACCCGATTTTAGTTTTGTGGTAAGTGGGTTTTGATCGTGCGTGTGCGTTCTATTAGCAGTGCAAAATCCGGCCAAAACACCTCACAAAATATCTAGCTTACAGATGAATGTCGGATGGGGAGTTGAACACTCCATTCCTTATCACATGCATAACTCAGAGTAAAAAATATAAAAAAGTAAATTATCGTGTCCGTTCCCGAAGGGAACTCACGACGGCCGCTAACACCCCATAAACCCTAGTGTACTCCGAGTACACACGAAATATCTGGGACTAAGGGTTGGCTCACATATCGCCGGTACGCGCCGGGAGTCACGGGGAGTCCGTGCCAAAATCCGTATGGGCTGTACGGATTTTTTCGAGGCGTGCTCCATACGATTTTCTGGCTTTCATACAAACCATTTTTCGTATGGAGATTTTGCGTCATCGGGTGCAGAAAGATTTTTCGCGCACAAATTTGGTACGAGAAACATCGATTTCCAGCGGGAAGTTTTGATTTCGGTACAGATTTTCAAAATATAAAGGCATAGCGCGGGAATGTGACGTGTTTGCGATCGTAACCTAGGCAATGACGGCGAACACATAAGTTCTGTACTCCGGAACATTTCACTGCTCGAAAACGACGTATAAAAAATCCGTAGCGCCTCTACGGATTTTAGCACGAAAAATCGTACTCCGGAACCTCTCTTAGGGCCGGGTTCCACTGCGGCTCCGCTGCCCCGCTGCTCGTCTTTCGCGGCTTGAAACGTCATCATTACCATAGTGACCGCGGCTCGAGCTGGAGCAGCGAGTCCGCGGCTCAACGCGAGCTTTTGCTACGATTTTTGACCAAAAACTGCGAGCCGCGGTCGGGGCTCGACCTGTTTCCCGTACTTTGCATTGTTTTGTACGCCAGAATTTTAAAATTCAACTTTTAATTCGTTGTGCAGGCCAGAACACAAGGATTTGTTTGATTTCGCGCGCGCGCGCGCGCGCGCGCGCAGGCAGGTAAAACGTCATCAAAAAGTGTGGACCACGACCGCGGTACCGCGAATGGCGAGTGACAGTGGAACCGCGCTGCTCCGCTGCAGCCAAGTGCCGCGGAGCAGCGGAGCCGCAGTGGAACCCGGCCCTTATGTGAACCAGTGCAGTCGTAACAAAATCATACGGTAAAATATCGCAAGAGACCGCCGGCAAAGTTGGACAGTGCCCAACTCTTGCGATCTGCCCCTCCGCCGATCCCGTACAATTTTGACTAAAAGTGGTTTGCGAACCGTTCGCGCCGGTCATCGCCAGTGCCGGGAGCCAGACTTTGTCAAAATTACAAACCAAGACTTATCCTAAATTTTCCTAAATTGAAGCTAAAGATGAGGTCTGTTCGCCATTCTTGTGGTCGATTCAAGGTGGCAAATTAAGTCAGCATACCAACCCGTCCTTCTCGGATGATCTGCTTGACTGTTGTATAACTTGGCATGGAGAACGTGTTTGAAGCTGCTGAATGGGAAAGTATTGCGTGTCGGCGGCACATACATTGCCTCAGACTGTTTTACCATATCACCCGCCAATACCGGGAAACCCTCAATAATTTCAACATAGTTCTATCCAAGAGTGCACAACGTCCTCACTTTTACCTCCTGCCCACTCACACTGGTCCCTGTTTCCGCTCCACTCTACTACATTCCATGGTCACCACGTGGAACTCCCTGCCTACCGAGATTAAGATATCTGAAACCCGTGGTGTATTGAGCCGGCACGTTTTAAGTCCAATTCCCACAGGTATAGATGCCATCTTCCAGGTTCTCACTTCCTGATTACCCCCTTCTTTACCAGTACCCTTTTCGCTTACTTCTACTCAGACCTCTTAATTAGGGTGCGTTCTTATATTCTCTAGCTTCTAGAAGAAGAGGAAAAGAGAAGTCGAAGAAACTGGGATTACTCAAGAACGGGTCTCGAAGAATTCGGAGATATTTTGCACATGTCAAGCAAAATGAAGCGCCAAAGGGGCCGCGATCTTGAGTGATGAATGTAGTAATGCACGTGTGCGTATGCGAAAAGGGAAATGCGTACACTAATGATGAACACGTGCCTTTTAGTCGTAGTTCGCATGCGCTGATCCCAAACCGCGGGAATCTCCAAGTTTCAACCACCTCTGGAGCTTGGAGAGCTTGGAGAGCTTTGGAGAGCCTCCTAAAAGTCGGAGAGGATATAAGAACAGCTCTCGAACTTTTCGGAGAGTCTCCAACTAAGAACGCACCCTTAATTAACCTCTTCAAATTAATCTTTTTTATCTTTATATTTTCTTCCTTTTAAAAATTGCACCCCATTGTACACGTGCTGTACACGTATAATATTTATTCTCGGAGACCCGCCCCCCCCCCCTTGTTTTAGGCTTCGGCCTTTGGGGAATCCCTCAAATAATAATATGAGACAAATACAATTGAACTAAATAAATAATACGAAGGATACATAGACAAGTTCGTGTGACTTCATCAACGTTTGCACGCATAATTTCGGCACCACCGCTTACTAGACTGCAATAAAATGTGTAGAAGTAGTTTCATGATCTCCAGTAAAAGGTACTAGTAGCACCGAATGGCCATCATCGAAATACCTTGAACTACTGAAGAAACGAAGAATTCAAGCTTCAATTGGCAAACCTGTCGTAGAATTTGGGCACATTCTGTACTACTTTGTAGTAGATTTGGTACTCTAACCGTATGCGCAACGGATCGGAAGCTGGCTCACCGCCGATGTCTTGCGATGTCTTGCGGCGCTGATTTTCCTTATGTGAACCAAACCATAACCTCCCTGTTAGCTGTTAGCTCGTTGGTAGTGTGTACTGGAGCTGCCTACCACCTGATGTACACCCGATCACAATTCCTTCTGCATTTAGGAACGCAATTACTCAATATTTTAAACTCTATTGCCCTCTCCTAAGATCGTCATCAACAACAATAACAACAACAAAAACGACGACGACAACAACAACAACAACTTTGAGTGTGAGGCTGCGCTACAAAGAAGCGTCGATGCCGCAGCAGAATGGCTAGAGCGCTGGCACCTGCTAGTCAATAAAACGAAAACCGTCATCCTCCCGTTCTACCATGCTAACCGACCCCCACCACGACTACCCGAAATAAAACTTGGGCAAACCCTACTAGAAACAGTAACACAACTTCGTCACCTCGGCATCATCTTTCAGCACGACCTAAGGTGGTCAGCCCACCTTGACTTTGTGCTGAAGAAAGCCGTAAAATCTTTTAATATTCTCTTTAGGCTCAAATCAACTCTACACACTAAATCACTCTCTCTCTCATTTACAAAACATATATCCTGCCTATAATTGAATATGCATGCATTGCTGTCACCCCGCTCTCAATCGCAGCCCTTGACCGTCTTGAGCGAATCCAGCGAAAGGTGGCCAGAATCTGCCTCCGTCTCCCCCTCTACACTCCTCTGAATCATTCAACACTGCTCCATCGGCTCAAATGGCCGACAATGTTCTCTCGCCGCAAAGTGAAGCTCACCCTTCTTGCTCACTCCATAAAATACCAATATGCCCCACAACACATACGCTTGCTCAACACCCCCGCTCAAGTTACGGCCCAGTACAGCCTTCGACACGCACGCACTTGGCACCTCCCACCCTCCAGAACCGATCGCTGTAAAGACCGCTGTAAAGACTCTCCACTGTACAAGTCCCTAGAATACTACAATGCCCTCCCTGCTAGCATTCGTGACGTCTCCTCCCGACCTGCTTTCAAACAAGAAATCTGCTCCCTGCTGATTAACTCAATCTGCTCCTGCAGCGCTCACCCACTCCCATACTTGTAAAGTTCAAAGTGATGTAAATCACTTTCCAACTGTTTAACCCACAATCTCACCTTCTCATAAATGTATCTCTTATTGGCGATGGTGCCATCGTGAGAATAAAGAATTCAAATTCAAATTCAAAAAACAACAACAACAACAACAACAACAACAACAACAACAACAACAACAACAACAACAACAACAACAACAACAACAGGTGTCTGATAGCGACAGGTGAAGGTGAAATTCCATGAAATACATGTGAAACCTTTCAAAGCGACCACTAGGATAAGGCGACCACCTGTCCCAGAAGACCACTGCAGCCAGGACCAAGGGATGCTATTTCCAGTCAAATGGCACTGGATAAGGAGACCACCTGGTTACAGAGGTCACACTTTAAAAGTCCATTGAACAGTCGTCTTAGACAAGTTCCACTGTGATGTGTTTGACACACTGACCTGTACAGATAAAGTGAACGATGTCACCTAAAAGTGGTTCAGAGTCTTCCACAACCACATCTTTGTAAAAGGTAAGCCGTTGGATAAATATAAATTCTCCATTTGAGTTCATTCCCAGCCAAGCGCTATTAAATATCAACAGTTGGTCTTGCAACTTGAAGCTCTTGAGAATTGCTCGGTCCTGTACGGTGGGTAAGCCCATTCCCAAACTTCTGCAGGTTGCTTTTGCTTGGTAGGGAGTTTTATTGGTCGTCAACAACCGATAGAAAGACTTGCCATCTCCTGGAGTGTCATATGTGCCTGGGAAGAAAGTTGATAAGCAACAGGAACACACAGATGCATACCTCAAGTGTCCATACAGTTATTGAGGGCTGCTCAGCTTCCACACACAATCACATGCACGCACGCGCATGCACGCGCGCGCACACACACATACACACATGCACGCACTAATGCACACACATGCATGCACGCACACCCACAAATCCTTGGAGAGCCGAATGCAGACTCCCACGAAGAGCCCACAAACTTGCCATCAAGGGTTCAGTCACCTCTGTTTTGTGATTAGCAAAGTTATTTGGAGAAGACAAGTAGTCAGCTGGTTATGGGTATTGCACTAGCTGTAAATCAACTAATTTTCAACGTTCGGTCCCAACTGGCCAAAGTCTGCCATAGGGGCGAATGATGCAAAATTCAGCCATGACTGCACGTGAAAGCAGCAACTACCGATTCGTTTCTTTTTTGAAAAATTCCAAATTGGCCAAAGTTTAATTACGGCCAAAATTTTCAATACAGAAATCGGTTTCTCAATGGCCAAAATGTGTTGAAAATGTGTTGATTAACAACAGTGCAAGATTACCACCTGCAGCTGCTCCCCAGGCCCCAACCCTGGTTTGTGGGGGCGATTTATAACCCCAACCACAGTGTAACACTCAGAGTACATTTCTACGCTATCAAGAGTGTGCAACTTCTGACACACTTTCTGCGGGGTCCGCTGACGGTGGAAAATGAAAACGCACGTCGCATAATGTGGCCCAGAATCTGCGAAAACCAGGCTTAGGGTGAAATTTCACAAAATGACTTTTTCCCATTTTCAGGTTCTACTGGGCATGGGAGGTCAGGAGACAAAATATTACAGGTGTGGGTCGACTCATAGTGGTATTAAAAGTATCTCAAACACACCAGGGTATTGTGTTAAAAAATCCAAAAAAACACAAAATTGTTATCACAGGAAAGAAATGAAGAGAGATCCACCAGAGTGAAGGAAGAGACATGGATGATTTTTGTTTAGGTGACATGACAAGGCAGGCATGGGGGGGCAGGCTTGTTGTGGCCCCTTGGTGCTCCAGGCTGTAGTGGCCATGCACAGTTCTGCATGAATTTTGTTTGCTCCTCATTCAGCACATTCTGGGGCTGCATACATGTACTGGCATGCTCTGGCGCTACACACCACAAGGAAACCCGACTCCAGTTGAGATGGCACCTTTTGAAGGGTGAATCTAGTACAACTATTCAAAAACAAGCAAGAACACAGCCTTTCAAACTGTTCCACTGTTCGTAGTATGCGCATAGTGATAGTGTGCTGGCGTGCTGTAGTGTCTGCTTGGTGCTGACCAGCAAGTGAAATCTCGGCACGCCGTACAATCCCTTGCAGCTAGCTGCCCAGCGAGGAAAGTCTCGAGTGGAGGCCTCTTGTGACAATATGACAATGTGTGTAGTGTGACGATACAATGTGTGTGTAGACAAACATTACGATTATGTATTTGTTGTGGTGACATCTGTCATCAGTGTGTCATGCCTCTTACCTCATTGTAGCTTCATCCGTAGTCCGCTTCCATTGTCCTTGTTCTATATTCTATTCTATTTCTTCTAGTGCTAGTCGTTTCACTTCTCATCTTTCCTTGAAGTAGTATATTTGAATTGTAATTGTTTTCCTGCAACGATCGCTCGTTGTGTTATTTATTTGTGTCTTGACTTCATTATTTATTTCGCCAGCGCCTGCAAGGCTGTATGCGCATGCTAGATTCTGTGTTCACGCGTGAGTAATGATGTCATCGCTATGCCTTTGCTTGCTGCGCGTAGTCTTGTTGTTTTCTTTGCTTCGTTCGAGTTGCTGTTGCTCGACTTCGTTTTCTGATCTATTTTCTGCATTCAATGGTGGCCGTGATGGCTGTCGCTGCAATAGCAGCTTCAGCCACGACGGGCCTCTATCGGTTGCTCTGCCGCCATGTTGGACGCCATGTTTTAGACGTGTCTTTTCCTGGCCAAAGTGCTGGTGATTTTTGTGTTCTTGTTGTTCTTTTCTAGTTCTCTCTCCTTTTCCTACTTGCATTTTTCGTGATTCATACATTTCCACCAAGAGGCTGCCGTTCACGCGTCTATAGTTTTGAAATGGACTGTAACCACAGTGTAACACTCAGAGTACATTTCTACGCTATCAAGAGTGCGCAACTTCTGACACACTTTCTGCGGGGTCCGAAGATGGTGGAAAGTGAAAACCCACGTCGCATAGTGTAGTGCTCACGTTGTACGTTCCCAGCCCGTTTTTAGCGACCGGGGGAGTTGAAAAATGTCTAAAAATTAGTACTCCAATCTGAAACCTACTCAGCGTGACGAGCGTCACGCGCATGATCTTGACACATACTCGGACTGCGTGCACAATGGTCTATGTTGGACGTACGGTTTGCGAGCCACCCAGGAGCCAAACAGATACATTTGCAATTTTTCACATTTTCTAGCCAATTCTGTCCGTGCGCGGAATCCAAACCTAAAAACCTTCCAGAAGCAGCCATGGGTGGTGGGATAGGGCCCTTCAACGTGGCCCTGGAATCTGTCACAATGGCAGGAGTGGGCGGTCTGTCACAGACTCCCACAGACCAAAGTCAATTTTTGAATTATTTTAGGTTCAGGGCGTGCTACGAGGTCGTACCTTTGATACAACATCCAGTGCTGGGACCTCCACAGCAAGCCATTTCCACAGCGCTTCAAACCGAATCCAGGATACCCTCAGAAACCGGCAAAGACTACCACTCACGTTTCACTACTGCCTAGTACTGAATCCTACCTGACTTCTTGACACGACTCAAACTTGCCAAAGTCACTAAATCAACGTCAACTACAATAATCAAGCCACATATCTGCAACGTCACGAGGGTGCTGGCAAAAGTCCTGCTGCACGGCGCGGGCTTCGCCGGTCGCCGTACAGCCCAATACGTGGTTTTTCAACGTGATTTTTTGGACTTTTTTGCAATTTTACATAGTCTGTCCCCGGGGAAAATAAGAATTTCAATCCGAGAAGAAAGAAAAAGGCCCAGCCCTGCCCGTTTTTTGGACTTACGTGGGTCGCCATGGGTTTTTTTTTGACTTGGAGCAAAATTCTGCACACTTTCCTTGATACGACAAGTTGCGCGCGGTCTGCTCACATTCTAATACAGTGCTGCCAACAAATGACAGCGTGCAACAAAAAAATCTTTCCTTACAAGGGCACATTTTCGGCCATAACTCTTGAAGGGCTGGTCAGGTCGAGACAAGATTTTCAGAGATTTTGCAGCTATTCATGCTCTTTAAACTGATGTAGCACTCAATATGAATTTACAAATTCGATTTTTCAGTGATTTTACGACCAGGCTGCCACACGCCACAAGATAGGGCCAAATCATGGGCAGATTGACTTACGCACACACTTCTTGATGGAACCTGGTACAACCGCCGGAAAGCATCTGTAGCCAAGGCTGATCGGACAGTCTGAATCAGTGCTACACGAATTTACAGCTGCAGTCGAATACAAACACAGGAAAATTTACATGTGGAGCACATTCAATTAGAACAGGCAGCGCACAGGTCTTCCCTCGTGTCATGCAGGCTCAAACACGCAACGGGAAGACTTCGTGGTAGTAAAATAGATTTTACAGAAGACAATCCTTTCTCTTCCTTTCGAAGAGCCGAACTTCCCGAGCCTCATGGAAAAACAAACTCTGAAAAGACCTACGCTAGTACGGGATTCAGCGCAGAGCAAAACAAACAACCCACGAAATGACTCGTAAACTACAGTCCATTTCAAAACTATAGACGCGAAAATAAATTGAAATATTTCAAATTTGGCTGGACCTTTTTGAGAATAGTTTTCGGAATATTGCTCAGGACCGCTCCACAATTACTCTCATATAGTTTCTAAACGATTGGATAACAGACGCCCAATTTGGAAAATTTATGCACAAAGTGATCACAGATTTTATGTGGTATATATGCTGTTATACCTCACTCCATATACACCCACACTCATATACCAGATCTCCCATGAAGTTTATAAATTTACATATACACTGTTCAATACACACCACTAAGGAGGTATATACACCACTCAGGAGGTATATACACCACTGAGGAAAACCATCAGAAAAAAACTCACTGAGGAGCTTTCTTTCTCTAAAAAGGAGTGTATATAGCTTTCTTCCTCTAACGCTATATTCACTCCTTTTTAGGGAAAGAAAGCTACATTGTATAATTCACTCCTTTTTGCTCTTGAGCTTGCGCATGGAGAGGTATAAATAATATTATAACAAGGGACCTCGTGTATATCGAGAAATATCGACCAGTTATAAAAACCTCGGCATCGCCTCGGTTTTTATACTGGTCTATATTTCTAGATATACACTCGGTCCCTTGTTATAATAATATACGCATAACGGTACGCGTCTATAGTTTTGAAATGACCCGCGTAAACTGTATGCTAAATCATTACATGTACGCCGGAAATCAAGTTCTAAAATAAACTGAACTTTCTGAGACAATCATTAATTTTCATATTTTCACATCCTGAGAGAAATATTGAATAAAATTAATACTTAAATAGTGAAGACATATTAAATTAAAAAAACATATGGCCAAGACGACCTTCCCAACACCTCGTTATAACGAGTCCGGTTAGTGAATAGAATTCTGAAAACACGCTAAGAAGCATATTCTATGTACATGTATCAAGCCTATGCTTTTCTTTGTTTATGAAAGCCTTTACATAAAGACAGTTGACTCGGGTCAAAATACTGATTTGCCGCCAAAAGTCGACTTTTAGAACCTAGAGTCCTGAGTAGTCACGTGAATCCTTTCGCGCGAATAATTTAGAAAAGCGATCCTGTCAGCTTTTCTATTATTGTGTTCACATGGCGCTACCTAACGACACCGCTATTCAGACACGTTGTATACGTAGCTACGTAAGCTTCTACGTAAGATGCTCGGTACCTGGTCCTGGACCAGGGAGCTACTCCATGGCTCCTACCATCGCGCGGCCGGCTGGCATTGCAGACATTTTGTTGTTGCCTCTTCTGATGTGCATGCACGAGGAACTTCCTTCTTTGGAACTGCTTCTTGCATGAACTGTTTCGGATATTTCGTCTCCTGGCTTGGCTTATTTCGTTTCGGCGCTCCTGAGACCTCCTGTCGCGGAATATTACTCAATGACAGGTGAGTTGACCAGTTCCCTTTGATTCATTTGCTTGTGTTGACTCTTTCATTTACGAAAAGTGTGCTGATTTTGGGCGGAATGCAATACATAATGGAAAAGCTGACAGGATCTCCTTTCTAAATTTAGCTGCCGAGGCCTCCTTTTACGGAATACTCAATGACAGGTGATCTCTGAGTTGACCAGTTTCCTTCGATTCATTTGCTTATGCTCACCCTTTCATTTACGGAAACGTGTGCTAATTTTATTCGGATTTAGATCCATTTTTATCTTTGCCCTTGCCTACAGTGTGCGAAGAACGCGAGTTCCCCTTCTCTACGGTAAGGCTTATGTTAGATGTGTTGTCAAAATACTCATATTCATTGCACATTAGTACGTTACAAGTAAGGCACTGGTCAGTGGCATACTATCGTTGGCAGTTCCCAATCTGGAGGGAAAGGTTCAAGGACTCATTGACCGAGTTTGCCAAATAAATTCGCATATCAGGGAAATCTCCATTGTGGAGAGGTTCAGTAACTTGTTTGCTTCATACCACGATAGGCGGTCAGCCTTTGGGTCATCCTAATAAAGTTATTATTATTATTATACGAAACAAGCCAACGGGTGCAGTCTCATCTCGTGAAAATCTCGTACTTGTATGATTGCATTTGTTTACTCGAGTCTGGGCTGTTTGATTTGTGAGTACCGCCGAGATTGCACTGCCCCAAATAAAGTTTCGTGCCGCCAAAGCAAGAATTACGATCTGCAATCTGTTTGTAGTACCTGCAAGAATGTGCAGTACATGTATCGTACTTTCTCTGTTGCTGTTTCAGTTGCCGTCATGCTGCTAAAGAAAGGTTCACTAGAGAGGTTCTGCAAAACGAAAATTCGAACGAAGTTTCGCGACAGTCCTTGCGAAAGTGTGTACGAATTTTTGCACGAACTTTGCGTTCTGCACATTTTCGTAGTTTGCGCGGGTCAAGTGCACGTACGCCATGACCCGATCTCACGAAATTTCCTACGACAGTTCATTTCGTGTTCCCTGCACGTTTCGTGTCCAAAGTTGCGAAAGTTCGTGCGAAGTTTCGCACTTCATGATGTAGAGCGAAAGTTTGTACGCATTTTCGTTTTGCAGAACCTCTCCAGTGACTCTTTTGTTTCATACGAGACGAGTCAATGAGTCGGTGTGGCTTAGAATCTTTCGCTGTAGAAGAAATCTATTTGTATGTCTATTGGAGAAATAATTGTATTCACTGGTTATAAAATAGGTTAAGACAAACTCACAGAATAAATACCATCGGTCCCTTGGTGTTCGTCCTAAAGAGGTTCGACTGGATATCATTCATACTCACCAAAAGATGTGTAAGATTTTATTATCATGGAGTGCCTTGTTTATCTCTCAGTATAATAATAATATCTTTATTAGGATGACCCAGAGGCTTGTCGCCTATCAAGGGGTTCACCGCTTTGAAGGATGTACGATGTACATGTACATGTATGAGCTATAGTGAAAGTAGTGAAAAGTTGTGCTGCGTGAATGCGTTGGGGAGCACACAAGGGGGGGGGGGGTATGTACATGGCGTAGGCATACCGGAGAGCGAAGCACGATGATTGTTTGCAAGTGAGTTTGCGAAGCTCATTCGTGAAAACAATAATGGATGGTTCTGCAGTCTTGGTGGGAGGCAGTTCCACAAGAGGGAGGTTTGGAAGAGAAACAACGATTTTGATGTGGTCTTTGCTTTTGGTAGAATAATTTTGTATCAGTACCTCCAACTATAGCCTTGACCCTTTTATCCTCAGGATCAGTGTAGTTGTTGGAATGAGGTGTCGGACTCAGCAATGTATTTGTTTACATTTTAATACATGTTTATTGTTCCTTCTTTGCTGTGTTGTTTTAGAAAATCGTGGACTAACAGTTTGAAGTCATTGAACTACTTCCAAGAGTTGTATCGACATCAACAGGATTACGATTTCAGTGCAATATGATGCTGGATGACCTTATCACGATAACCCATGATTATAAACCATTATAAACACAGAATCAACCAAAAACTTCTGCAACACGCACCTGGCGCAGGGCTACATTTCTTAAATAAATCTGATCGAGGGTGGGGAAATCTGAAATATCTGAAAGGCAAGACAATTTTATGACAGAGTCATGAAATTCTGCAACAGCAACATGCGCAGAATGACCTCCGTATAAAAAAGTATCACCACCACTACTCACATGTTTCCCCGCAGAAGAACATGCATTATGCTAGTGCCATTTTCTGCAAGAAAAGGCTTGCACATCAATGCGTATAATAAAGAGTACAAAACCCCATAATGTACTCTTGGTATAATACGGTATTGATATGATAAAGAGTACATAAACCTCTTGATATGATGTGAAAGCCATCATTTACATATTGATATAGGGCATTCCATTGATTGGTGACAGAAAAAAAAACAAAAGAAATTATAGCAATAAAAACTGCTTTATGGCAGTTTCCTAAAAAAAGTTATTGTGTTCTAGTCCAGAATTAAAAGCTACAATGTAGAAGACCTTTTCCCCTCGTGATCCTCTTTCCTATGCATGCATGTTGCCAATTGTTGGTGCAGTACAAGTTAAAGTTGAAAGTAGCATTTCAAGTGTTGTGATTATTGTGAGGTTTTGTGTGAAATTTTAATTTTCAGCTATCACATTTCGTTAATTTCTTACTTTTTAGACGGGGTCCATGGACTAGAACACAATAACTCTTTTTAGAAAACTGCCATATTAAAAGCAGTTTTTATTGCTATAATGGATGTGCATTGCTATTCAAACCTGGCCTGGGGCACAGTAGTAGTACATGTACGTTAGTATGATTTCTCGCCCCGAAATTTCAACCCGGGTCAAGCATTTCAAGCTTCGCAAGCGCAATGCGTCATGTATACGCGCCATTCATTTTGTGTATGTGGCGCGGGTTGAAATCTGACCCGGGTCGAACTCAACCCGGGTTGAAACGCCTCATGTAATCATCATCATCATCATCTCCATTGCCGAAAAAATAATAAAAGTAAAATAAAAAATAAAAACGGCATTATGCAGCTGTGTAAGCAGTAGATGCACAGTGTGACTGCCGGCATGCCATGCGAGGCATCTCTGTCAGATGCCAACTGGCTCATGCAGAGACATACCAGTCCACGAAACGATATTGTCAGCAACGGAAATCTTCGGACGACCACGCTTTCTCTTACCATCCACGACACCAAACATCACGTCACGTACAAGCTCGCAGCCAGATGGGCGGCATGTATGCCCGAAATACCTCATGTACACACACCCTAAAATTAGGCTGTACTCACCAGGGAGTAGTACAATACCGGTGTCTTTTTCTCACTGTAGCTAGCTCCTCATTGTTTTTTTGTTTTTTTTTACCAGGCGTGGGCCATCCCCTGATTTAATTTTTTTCAAGTCATAAAAGCCTCTTGTACGGGCAAAACCAAAAATAGTTCCACTGGCAATCCTTGAAGTACATTACTACAATAGTGGTGATCACCATCACTGATACAACGAAATTTGAAAGAAAAAGAAAAAAGCCCCTGATATCATAGGTGCCAAACATTTTTACGTTTTTCAAAAATAAATCAATAAGTGTATTACGAATACAAAAAAAAGTACACTACCGGTATTGTACTACTCCCTGGTACTCACACTACTTGAAAAGTTGACGCGAATGTCGCGTTCAAAACTAGACAAAAGCACATGTACTTGAAAAAAGCCTTTCCAAGCACACTGCACTCCAGGGACGACTTGAAACGTTTTTTGTCAGCAAATTACCATGGAGAAACATGATGTCAAGTGGTAGTTTTGCAAATCCCGAGGCACGTTCCTTCAAATTGTTTGCGCTCGATCAAATTAATTTGCAATTTTCAGTTCATGAGAAATTTGAATGTCTCCGTTTTGTGCCTAGTTGGTGCAATTTCATTCATTTCATTCATCCGCTGCCGCCTTAGCTTTGCGTTGCTCAGAGCGAGTGTCATGTGCCTGCGTGGTAGCCGCTCTGTTTTCGCTGTACATACACCGGTCTCTTCTTCTGCCTCCCTAGTTGCTGCCGAAGCTGGCACTTCACGTCATTAATTTTAATTATTTTATAGTCTTTAGTTCTTTAATATTATTATTTGCCATGGCGACCCCGTAAGCCCAAATAGCTGGCAGGGCAGGGTTGAGCCTTTTTTCTTTTACTTCACAGGTGTAGCATTTTATCAGTCATTACGTATGATTTATACAGTGGCAGTACCAGGCGTGGGCCATCCCCTGGATTATCAAAATGGGTGCCTTATCATTTTTTCTGTTGTTTTTACACTATCATGTACATACATGTCTTCATCAGTTGGTGCACTTTCTGGCTGTGTACAGTATCTAGTTACAGTGGTGGACAATTCCTCTCAACTCGTATCCATATGTCCTTTTCCTTTCTACATTAACAATAATCCAAGGGTTAATAGACTTATAGTAAAGAAAAGCATCCCCATATTGCAACGAAATACAGACAGCTACCCGAATTTTCCCCGTTAATTTGATCGTCGGGAATCCGTGCGCGCCCATTTGGTCACACGTAAATCTGCACAACGTACAAAAGGCTTATTAGTACTGTAAACTACCAACCGTTTTGGTCAACCTTATCAGCTGCTCTCTGGCCTCATGCGTGTTTTGATTCAATTCTTAAACACAAACTGTATCACATTGTTTCGCCCGTAAACGAGGCTGCCAATCACCAGTGTGAAAAATGAGAGCAAAATAAAAATAAAAGAGGGAGAAAAAGTATAACTCAACACACACCCAACTTGCTAACTGTACGGCAAGTGCATTACACGACAGCTTACCTTTATTTGCCAAGCAGGCGACATGATGCTTGCCCGATGTTTTTGAGTTTTCACCATTGGTGGCAAACGGGTAGGAGAGGTCGGGACTGAATCGCCACATGTACGAAAAGAATGTCGATTGTGCGCGTCTCCGGTACTCCTGGCTCAAGAGACCCACCTGCTTGGTACTTTGACTAAACACAGCATCACGCTTTATGCAAATCCTCAGGGCGTCTTGCCATGTCTTTTTGTCATAGGTCGGCATAAACAGTCTCCTATATTGCCATCCTTGAAACTGGTTCCTTCCTTCTACCAAAAACAACTGCGGTAAACCTGCACCAAGGACAAAGGGAGAAGGAAAGAAGTCCAAAGTACAGCATCCTGTTTTGAAATGGGGCAGATGAAAATGAATTATGGGTAGATGAATTGCTGTATGTGCAAGAATCTGGATTGATGGATTTGTTTGCTTCTCTAGCATTATTTTACTTCACCAAAGGCACAGGCATAATCTGCCTTCTCACTGGGCATACTGTCACAGTTCTCACAAAATGATACCGATTTCTTGCTTGATTTAAAAATTGATATACTGCAACTCTGGCAGACACGTTGCAGTGCTATTTCACACAGTGCGTCAGAATATGTTTGCTCTCAACGCTTTCAAATGCGATTGATTTAGTCAAAGGGATCCAGTGGATCTGGATCCTGATGAGCAAAATGGTTACAGGCTTAAGGTGGCTCACACCCTCTGCGCGCGCATCGTTTGAAAAGTGTAGATTTTCAGTAAATTTCTCGGTAGCGATGATTTTTGTGCGATCAATCGTTGTAGGAAACGTCTTCTCGCTTTCCTGCAATTCTGGCGACCTAGCTAGAACCTGCTGCTAGTGTCCCTCTTCACTATGAAAGGGGAAGGCAGCACTCGCAGGAGATTTTCCAAGAATGCAATGTCGACTGGTGCTCGTACTATAAGAAGGGAGAAATCAAAGTCCGCTCTTGAATCACGCCTGATTATTTCAGAATACGCTTGTGTAGATTTCCTGCCAGTGCCACTGACATTTCGCGACCTTCAAATATAACTTGCTCGATCATCTCCCGCACTGACTGGTAAATTCGTCGGGTAGCTGTGGATGGATCGATTCAGGGAGGTCGAAGGTAAATACATCGAAGCACTTCAAACACGTTTCAAGACGCACTTCAAATTTTGTAATTGTGTCTTGAAAATTGTTTACAACAATTCGTACTTCAATACGCTGTTGAATTGTATCCTCTGCTTGGGAGTCTCGACTGTTTTATTGCTGCATGGCTTTCCTCAACACCGTTCACTGTACATGTATCGCGGAACGCAGACTGGATGGCATTGGAGGTGAATTTGATAATTTGTGACTGTGTCATCAACCAAGTGAGGACATCAAATATCAACAGGGACGTTCCGAAAATCACAAACACTGCGAAATAGGTATGAAATGGTCTTACACACTGGTGGGTATTCCACATTCATTGTGTCATATCTTTAGACTGTTCGAAAGTTTGCCGTGCCGTGCAACTTTCACAGACTAATCCGATAATTGGCATGTGGCCCTATCGGCACACACTCATGCGTATGCCGCTGAGTCTATCTATATGTGCTCGCACATGTGTGTATACTTACACAATTTTATTACATATGCAAAATTAGGCAATCTACATGTACATATGTGTGTGCACTCCCTCCTATGACATAGAACGACAGTGCAGGCTATGTAGAGTCGCACGAATGTGTGTTACCCGGGTGAGTATATGCATGCGCACTCGCGCGGGCGTTTTGTGTGCGCGCCTGGCATGGCATAACGCCGTTCAATATGACTAGTGTTGAACCGTGGTAATTTGCCCCACCCCTTATTTTTTCTATTGGCGTTGGATATGCAACTAATGACATAAACTCGGTTGTTGAAAACGAGTGCCATGCACCACAATGGATTGACAATAATATAATACAAGTAGCGCTGTAAAAGCGCTGGTAATACTCATGTTGCAGCCATGGCAGTTGTGATTAGCTTTCCAAGTCAAGCCTGCTGCAGAAATTATTGCACTCTGACCAGCTGGAGTGGCCCAGGACTGCAGGTTGTGGAGAACAGGAGTGATGCTTGTATATACGCTTGTACATGTATTTACATGATGGACTTCGAAGTAACGTTAGGTGTATTACTTGTATGTTCTTCTGCCTGTGCACGTGTACATGTGCTGGTCAGTGTGGAACCGCCATCCATATCAGATTATACAGCTCAGCTGCTATCAGTCTCAACAGCTTATATCTGGCAAATAGGGTTTTAGTGACTCAATTTTGCTTACTGTGTTCAACAGAGTGGCATTGCACACAGCTACTTTATGTAATAGTAGCATCTTGGAAATTTTATATTTTTGGTAGACTAAGCATTCAAGTAATGCACGAAGAACAGTGGCTAGATGCGAAGTAAAAAGCCATTGGACCGTACCCAATGGAATACGCATTTAGTATAGCAGTATTGCTTGCTATGTTGGCAGCAAACACTGTATAATAATAATAATTGCATTACCAGTAGAAAGTGCCCAATGTGCATTGCTTCAGCACTGTGTTTTGGACAAAGCAGTCAAAAAATTCCACATCAGTATTGGCTTCATGTTGGAGAAAGTTGTGAAAAACACTAGAGCATACATGTACACTCAATACACATGCTCAGCTACATGTATGGCATTTAGTATGTGGGCGACTTCAAAGTTCTATTTTGGTAGTTAGCTTCGGTAGAAACTGTCTAAACTTGATCCAAAGCTCTACTACTATGTTCTGAAGATGTTGCAATCAAGTAATGTAAGACACGTATCTGCCGCATTGGAGCTAGTTGTGAAAACCTTTAGACCATACACTCAATGCACGTGCTCAGCTATTGCATTTAGTATGTGGGCGACTTCAAAGTTTTATTTTGGTAGTTAGCTTCGGTGGAAACTGCTAAAACTTGATCCATAAGCTCTACTACTATGTTCGGAAGATGTTGCAATCAATTATTGCAAGATACGTATCTGTCATACGGTGGAGTCAGGGGTTCTAAGGCGTTGGACAATGTCCCAGTGCAATGTGCTGATTCTTGAAAATATGGCATCACTTGACACTTTAAAGTTTTATTTCAAAAGTTACCTTCGGTAGAACCTGCTCAAACTTGCTACACAGTACCATTATTAGGTTATGATAGCATAACCATCGAATACAGGGCAAGTCCAGTGTCAAATACTTGTGGGCGGGGCTAATATGTGGGACGTGTTGCTGAAATGGGATGATTCCGAAAAGAGAAAAAGGTCACCTTCTAGCAGAATTCTACCCACTTCTAAAGCTTATGCTGGTATTTAGCAAGTATACTACTGACCTGATGTTGGACATCAAGAAAAAAGGGGTAACTACGAGTGCTACGGCCAAAAAAGTGGTTTTCCGGTGTTTTTTGGCCTAAATTGGCAATTGTGAGTATGCTATGTTAGGCCCCTCCCCCGAGTGAAACCGGCCGGTAGAACTTGATAAAATTTTGTCTCCGTACACTAGATATCCTACGGAACAAAGTACAATCGTTTGTAGCCACGTTTCAAACAAAAAAAATTTGGACCCGAGGGGTAGGAGCCACCTTAAAGGGACTCGGATGGAGAGCCAAGTAAGAATTTTATAAGAAAGAAAACGGATCAAGGAATTACAAGTTACGCTATGCTGTACACTAAGATCACCAGTGACTGGACAATCAACTCATTCGCCAACATTGCATGACGCTGAATAATGGTACTGACGTTCTACAAATCACTAACAATCGTTTTGGCTGCGCACTTCAACTGCCTTCCAACTTGGAAGGTTCTAAGTTGGAGTTCTAACTTAGGACTCGGGGGCCAAGACTTGCTAGAGCTGATTGGTAGTTTAATAGTTGCAGAACGTCAGTTCCGTTGGTCAGTGCCAAGTCAGGTGCCTGCTCACAACATTATACTTCCCTTTCCAGCTACCTTAAACCCCATATACCTTAAACCCCATATACTTGTTACAATTCAAAGGTGAGCGCTCTCTACAGTTTCACTGATTACTGTAAAACCGGAAAATCACAAAGTCTGAAGTTTTAACGAGCAATTCATTTTCGTTATTTGAAGAAACGCTATGTCGAACCCGGTTTGCGATGTCTGTGTAAAGATGCGCATACAAAGGGATGGCCAGGTAACCATCGTTAAATTTTCTGCAGGTTATCACGCCGAAATTAAAAAAACGTTTAAAATCTTTTTGGTCTTTAAACTTTCCGGTTTTACAGTAATGGGTGATCCAGGTTCCCTCTACTCCTTTATCAATGTTCACAACACATCCTTCACATCAGTACGCACTGCTTGCTGCTCTGAAACTGCTCATGAACGCAGTATGGCCTGCACAGCTCTGGAACGAGTACCGATACTCTGATTATTATCTGACTACGATCCAGTACCATCCACCTTGCAGAGAAAAACTTCCTATACAACAACTCCCCACGACTAACACCACTATATTCAGACCATGAACAACTTTACCGCCTAGAACGACACTATTTTCAGACAAATACAACAACCTGACCACACACCTAGCGAATAACGACAACTCACGAATAACATCTCGCGAATAGTGATAACTCACGGATAAAGACAAATCGCGAAGAATCACACTTTTTTCATCATCCTTATTCGCAAAGTTGACCATAGTCAAGTTCCCGGTATACTAGTAAAATGTTGACTTCTAAAAACATGTTGAGAGGGTTGTACCCCTGATGACAGTTCGGTAACCATTGCATGTATAATACCAAAGCCTGCATGCTGCTCCTGCCAGGGTGCCGGTCAGGTGCAGGAAGCCACATGGTTAGACTACACATCTCCTCATGGCAACATGGTACCATAAAATTATACTCTTCTTGTCGAACTAGGGCATAATACGTCATGTGGTATTATTGTTTTGGATTCAAATGTCTACCAATGAAATTGTTGCTCCTTCTCCCAAACTTACCCTTCTCCCCCTTTCGTTATTCCCTCTCGTCACCCATATCTTTTTACTTCCCATTTCAATATTCGCTATCTGGTTATTGAGCATATCTGCTTGTTTGGTCTTGCGACTCAAAATAAAAGAAACAAATAAACAAACAATATCATCATGCAATAGGGAGTCAAGTGTGTCATTTAGAGTCTTAACATTGTCAACCATTCCTAACTGCCCTACACTCGTGTTGCAAGAAACGCATACTTACTAGCCGTTGAAGCTTGACCTGATGAGATGCAATAGAGAACGCATAGGAGACATGACGCAATCGCATACATGGGAGTAGCCATATTGGAGTTGTACTGACCGACTTCCTATAACAGAGAAACAGTGCACCAGACACACTTATACACATACGCATAATCCATAATACACATGCGCACATACACACACGTACATTGACAGACAGACAGACAGACAGACACACACACAGACAGACACACACACACCACACACACAGGCACATACACAGACAAATACACACATACATAAGTAGTACAAAATACAACACAAACACACACACACAGATGCCCCCGCCCCTCAATCACATGCATGTAAGTGAATGTCTACTACTGTTTGCTCATTGCCAATAGGTGATCCTGTAGCTCGCTCTAAGCAGAGGGAGAGAGATTACTTAGACTGAGAAGCCTAAGAAAGAGGACATAATTAGGTAGTGAAGTTTCCTTGCCAAACTACTCCCAACTTCTTCGAGTGGAGATGAAACCAGTAGCCCCATACACGTACTTCCTACACTACAGTGCTGTATGCAATCGGTTGAGGAGAAGGTTCAGAAAAAATGATTGATGGTATCAGGGGAACGATCTTTGCACTTTTTGACTTTGCCTAACAGTTACGTATGATCACGCCTCTTTACGGAGGGAGATTCCGTCACTTGTCAGAGCGAGGAGGGCAGGGGAGGGTCTCAAATGCTTTAATGGCCGTTTAGAATTTTAGTTCATTTCTCCTTCGGAACTGCTGGTGGTTCCGGACTTGACAGTAATACTCAAACAACTAAAGATCATCCCTCCAGGAATAACGAGGCACTGTTCCCAAGTCGCTGGGTACATGTAATTAATTGTATACTGGAGCAGGCGGACACAGGCAAAATTGACTTTGGGTAACACTCTTATGATCCCTACACCATTGTTTCATACCTAGCCCTAACAGGATGCCACGGCCCACGGATATACAGAGTAACTGATGATTCGTTACGGTTTGACTAGACGCGTCTCACAACCTTCTGCTCTAATATCCCGCCCAATACACAATCCACTTTTACAAAAGCTATCCAAATCTCTTACCTAGCCGACGTACTTGTCAAATCTCGGAGAAAAGCAGCACGACCACTGCTGCTCACAACAGGAAGAAAATGATTGTCAACGCTTGTACATGTACCGTAAAATCCCGCCAGAGCGCCCCGTCTCTCCTATCGATATATATCCGCCCCTCCCTGACTGTGTTTACATGAGGCGTTTCAACCCGCCATGTGCACAAAGTGAATGGCGCGTTTACATGACGCATTGCGCTTGACCCGGGTTGAAATTTCGCCCCTGGTTGACTTCAACCCTCCCCCCAAGGGGCCAAGGGGAGGGTTGAAACCAACCCGGGTCAAGAAAATCGTACAAACGTACTTCTGTGCGTATCTCGCGCCAGGTTTGAACAGCACTGCAGATGCAAATTTCGCGCGAACGGATTGAAATTTCTCATGTAAACACAGCTGGGACGTGATTTCTCGTATCTCGGTGGCAGTCTGTGATGCCGTACGTCATGAAAAGGCTAAGCGTCGTGCGTATGAGCAGCGCCTGAGGGAGGTGGAGCATTCCAGCTTTGTCCCCGCCATCTTCGTCTTTATTTTATGTTTTGCCCGTACAAGAGGCATGGTTTGAGTTAAAAAATAAAAATAAAAAACTGCAGGCGCGTGCTCGACCCCGTTGCAAGTGTACGCAACAGTGCCCACCCTCTTGACCAGGGATCGCCCAAACCAGGGAGTAGTACAATATTGTACTACTCCCTGGCACAAACCCTGAGTTTTGACGGGTCTGTACGACTCGTGGCTCTTGACCTTTGGTTGGTGTACGAGATGCATGAACAGTTTTCGTAGGGTGAGTACCTTTCCACGTAGCACTGAATGCGGCAAGTTGGACTCGCCCATCCCTCCCCACCTGAAGCGGCGAGGAGGTAGGGGCGCTCTGGCGGGATTTTACGGCCGTAAAATCCCGCCAGAGCGCCCCGTCTCTCCTATCCGCCCCTCCCTGACTTCTTGTCAGGGACGTGATTTCTCGTATCGCGGTCGCAGTTTGTGATGCCGTACTCACTGTACTGTACTGCAGACGCGTGCTCGACCCCGTACATCAACCAAAGGTCAAGAGCCACCGCGGTCGTGCTTCACGCTTTTTGATGACGTTCTACCTGGGTGCGCACGCGAATTCCAAAAAATCCTCGTCTTCTGGCCTAGACAACGACAATTAAATTTGAATTTTAAAATTCTCGCGTACAAAACAATGAAAAGCACCATGTGTTTGGTTACGCTGCACAAGCAGCGCATTACTTTATCCCTTCCACTAATTGTTATCGGCCAATCAGCATACTCTCACCACCTCACATCCAATCAGTATACCCCACGTCACACTCACGTTTAACAAACTTGTCTCATATATGCGAAAAAATGGTACTGGATCATAGCAACATCCTCCTGGATACTGAACAAAATAACGATTAAAACACAACAAACGACAACAACCGACAACAACCAACAACAACCAACAACAACCAACAACAACACCCAACAACCGACAACAATCGACAACAACAACCAACAACAACCAACAACAGCCAAAAACAACCAACAACAACCAACAACAACCAACAACAACCGACAACAATTGACAGCAACATCCAACAACCAACAACAACCGACAACAACCAACTACAGCCAACAACAACCAACAACAACAACAACCTACAACCGGCAACAACCAACCACATCAACCAATCACAACCAACAACAGCCAACAACAACCAACAACAACCAACAACAACGGACAACAACGGACAACAACGGACAACAACCGACAACAACCAACAACAACCAACAACAACACCCAACAACCGACAACAACACCCAACAACCGACAACAACCGACAACAACAACCAAAAACAACCGACAACACCTGACAACAACCGACAACAACCAACAACAACCAACAACAACACCCAACAACAACCAACAACAACCAACAATAACCAACAACAACCGACAACAACATCCAACAACCAACAACAACCGACAACAACCAACTACAACCAACAACAACAACCAACAACAACCGACAACAACAACCAACAACAACCAACAACAACCGACAACAACCGACAACAACGGACAACAACCGACAACAACCAACAACAACCAACACCAACCAACAACAACAACACCCAACAACCGACAACAATACCCAACAACCGACAACAACAACCAAAAACAACCAACAACACCTGACAACAACCAACAACAACACCCAACAACAACCAACAACAACCAACAATAGCCAACAACAACCGACAACAAACCACAACAACCGACAACAACCAACAACAACAGCCAATAACAACATCAACAACGACGACGATAACGACGACAACAACCAACAACAACATCAACAACGACGACGATAACGACGACAGCCACAACAGTGTCCGGTAATGTGTGGTAGAGAATGGCAGTCAGCCAGACTGAGCACAGTTGAACATGTATAATAACAGTAATAATAATTATACATTTTGCGTAGTTGAGCACTAAATAAAGAAATTCAGTGTTTTTCCCCACTTCTGTCTTGTGAGCATCATCAGCAAGGTGTAGTAGCTGCTGATACAGATTTGTCCTCAAGTGTCAAGCTGCACAGTTTCTTCCAGTCTGTCTTGTCCTCTGCTTGTTGCCGGCACCTGGAAAGGTCTTCGATGGTCTTCATGGGCACACCCAGCTTATTCAACTGATCGACCAGACTTGTGGCTAGTGTCAACCTTGGCCGCCCACGGGGTGCTTTGTTGCCCTTTTCCAAATAGCTGCTCATGGCTACTTAGGGTGGCGTGTCCGTGTCCATCTGTAGCACATGACTGGTCATTCGTAGTCGCCTACATGCAGCTGTGTCATGTATTTAGAAAAGCGATCCCGTCAGCTTTTCTATTATTGTGTTCACATGGCAAGAAAAACGACACCGCTATGCTACGTAAGTTTCTACGTAAGGTGCTCGGTATTTCACTTAGGCTACGTAAGTCTCTACGTAAGGTGCTCGGTATTAGATCTACCAACGGGTGGTAGCCGCGTGCTGTGCACGTGCACGGCAGACATTGTGTTGCATGCTTGCAGTGCAGTCCGTGTTCGGATGTGCATGCGCGAGGAACTTCCTCCTTTGGAACTGCTTCTTGTATGAGCTGTTTCGGATATTTCGTCTCCTGGCCTGGCTTATTTCGTTTCGGCGCTGCTGAGACCTCCTTTCGCGGAATATTACTCAATGACAGGTGAGTTGACCAGTTTCCTTTGATTCATTTGCTTGTGTTGACTCTTTCATTTACGAAAAGTGTGCTGATTTTGGGCGGAATGCAATAAATAATGGAAAAGCTGACAGGATCTCTTTTCTAAATTTAGCTTTTTCCGCTGCCGAGGTCTCCTTTTACGGAATACTCGATGACAGGTGATCTCTGAGTTGACCGATTTCCTTCGATTCATTAATTTTGCTTATGCTCACCCTTTCATGTACGGAAACGTGTGCTGATTTTATTTGGATTTAGATCCATTTTTATCTCTTTGCCCTTGTCTACAGTGTGCGAAGAACGCGAGTTCACCTTCTTGATGGTAAGGCTTATGTTAGATGTGTTGTCGAAATTCTCACATTCATTGTACATGTACATTGGTATGTTACAAGTAAGGCACTGGTCATACTATCGTTGGCAGTTCCCGATCTGGAGGGAAAGGTTCAAGGACCCATTGACCGAGTTTGCAAAATAAATTCGCGTATCAGGGAAAATCTCCATTGTGGAGAGGTTCAGTAGACTTGTTTGTTTCATACGAAACAAGCCAATGGGTGCAGTCTCATCTCGTGAAGATATCGTACTTGTATGACTGGATTTGTTTACTCGAGTCTGGGCTGTTTGATTTATTATTTGTGAGTACCGCCGAGATTGCACTGCCCAAAATAAAGTTTCGTGCCGCCAAAAGCAAGAATTACGATCTGCAATCTGTTTGTAGTGCCTGGAAGAATGTGCTGTACATGTATCGTACTTTCTCTGATGTTGTTTCAGTTGCCCTCATGTTGCTAAAGAAGGGTTCAGTAGAGAGGTTCTGCAAAACGAAAATTCGAACGAAGTTTCGCGACAGTCCTTGCGAAAGTGTGTACGAATTTTTGCACAAACTTTGCGTTCTGCACATGTTCGTGGTTTGCGCGGGCCAAGTGCACGTACGCCATGACCCGATCTCACGAAAATGTGTACAACAGTTCATTTCGCGTTCTCTGCAAGTTTCGCGTCCAAAGTTGAGAAAGTTCGTGCGAAGTTTCGCACTTCATGACGTAGAACGAAAGTTTGTACGCATTTTCGTTTTGCAAAACCTCTCTAGTGACTCATTTGTTTCATACGAGACGAGTCAATGAGTTGTTGTGGCTTAAAATCTTTCGCTGTAGAAGAAATCTATTCGTATGTCTATTGGAGAAATAATTGTATTCACTGGTTATAAAATAGGTTAAGACAAACTCACAGAATAAATACCATCGGTCCCTTGGTGTTCGTCCTAAAGAGGTTCGACTGGATATCATTCATGCTCACCAAAAGATGTGTAAGATTTTATTATTATGTAGTGCCTTGTTATTTCTCAGTACCTCCAACCATAGCCTTGCCCCTTTTATCCTCAGGATCAGTGTAGTTGTTGGAACGAGGTGTCGGACTCGACAATGTATTTGTTCACATTTTAATACATGTTTATTGTTCCTCCTTTGCTGTGTTGTTTTAGAAAATCGTGGACTAACAGTTTGAAGTCATTGAACTACTTCCAAAAGTTGTATCGACATCAACAGGATTACGATTTCAGTGCAATATGATGCAGGATGACCTTATCACGATAACCCGTTATTATAAACCATTATACACACAGAATCAACAAAAACATCTGCGACACGCACCTGGTTACATTTCTCAAATTAATCTGATCGAGGGTGGGGAAATCTTAAATAAATGAAATTCTGCTACAGCAACATGCAGTCATGCACAGAATGACCTCCGTATAAAAAAAGTATAACCACGGTCCACCACTATTCACATGTTTCCTCGCAGCAGAACATGCTAGTGCCATTTTCTACAAGAAAAGGCTTGCACATCACTGCGTATAATACGGTATTGA